AAGTCACTCAGTTTGATTATGAATCACTTAATTTGATTGGAAGTCACTCAATTTGATTGTGAGTCACTCAGTTTGATTGTAAGTCACTCAATTTGATTGGAAGTCACTCAATTTGATTATGAATCACTCAATTTGATTGGAAGTCACTCAATTTGATTGGAAGTCACTCAATTTGATTGGAAGTCACTCAGTTTGATTGGAATTCACTCAATTTGATTGGAAGTCACTCAGTTTGATTATGAATCACTTAATTTGATTGGAAGTCACTCAATTTGATTGTGAGTCACTCAGTTTGATTGTAAGTCACTCAATTTGATTGTGAGTCACTCAATTTGATTGTAAGTCACTCAATTTGATTGGAAGTCACACAATTTGATTGGAAGTCACTCAGTTTGATTGTAAGTCACTCAATTTGATTGGAAGTCACTCAATTTGATTATGAATCACTCAATTTGATTGTGAGTCACTTTATTTGATTGTGAGTCACTCAATTTGATTATGAATCACTTAATTTGATTGGAAGTCACTCAATTTGATTATGAATCACTCAATTTGATTATGAATCACTTAATTTGATTGAAGTCACTCAATTTGATTGGAAGCCACTCAATTTGATTATGAATCACTCAATTTGATTGTGAGTCACTCAATTTGATTGTGAGTCACTCAATTTGATTGTAAGTCACTCAATTTGATTGGAAGTCACTCAATTTAATTGCGAGTCACTTAATTTGATTATGAATCACTTAATTTGATTGGAAGTCACCAAGTTTGATTGGAAGTCACTTAATTTGATTGTAAGTCACTTAATTTGATTACGAATCACTTAATTTGATTGTAAGTCACTTAATTTGATTACGAATCACTTAATTTGATTGTAAGTCACCCAGTTTGATTGTAAGTCACTCAATTTGATTGTAAGCCACTCAATTTGATTGCGAGTCACTCAGTTTGATTGGAAATCACTCAATTTGATTGGAAGTCACTCAATTTGATTATGAATCACTCAATTTGATTGTGAGTCACTCAATTTGATTGTGAGTCACTCAATTTGATTGTAAGTCACTCAATTTGATTGTAAGTCACTCAATTTGATTGGAAGTCACTCAGTTTGATTGTAAGTCACTCAATTTGATTGGAAGTCACTTAATTTGATTGGAAGTCACTCAATTTGATTATGAATCACTCAATTTGATTGTGAGTCACTCAATTTGATTGTGAGTCACTCAATTTGATTGGAAGTCACTCAGTTTGATTGGAAGTCACTCAGTTTGATTGTAAGTCACTCAGTTTGATTGGAAGTCACTCAGTTTGATTGGAAGTCACTCAGTTTGATTGTAAGTCACTCAATTTGATTGGAAGTCACTCAATTTGATTGGAAGTCACTCAATTTGATTGTAAGTCACTCAATTTGATTATGAATCACTTAATTTGATTATGAATCACTTAATTTGATTGGAAGTCACCCAGTTTGATTGGAAGTCACTTAATTTGATTGTAAGTCACTTAATTTGATTACGAATCACTTAATTTGATTGTAAGTCACCCAGTTTGATTGTAAGTCACTCAATTTGATTGTAAGTGACTCAATTTGATTGGAAGTCACTCAATTTGATTGCGAGTCACTCAGTTTGATTGGAAATCACTCAATTTGATTGGAAGTCACTCAATTTGATTGCGAGTCACTCAGTTTGATTGGAAGTCACCTAATTTGATTGAGTCACTCAATTTGATTGTAAAAAGTGACTTAATTTGATTGTGAGTCACTTAATTTGATTGTGAGTCACTGAATTTGATTGTAAGTCACTTATAATTTGATTGCGAGTCACTCAGTTGGATTTTGAGTTACTCAATATGATTGTGAGTCACTTAATTTGATTGTGAGTCACTTAATTTGATTGTGAGTCACTTAATTTGATTAGAAGTCACTTAATTTGATTGCAAGTCACTCAGTTGGATTTTGAGTCACTCAATTTGATAATTTGATAATCTACAAAAATACCACTAAGTTCCACACATGGGGGAAAGAAAATACAAAAATAATGCAACTAAGTGTAAAATCATAACATGACTGATTATTTCAGTAATTTGTCAACTGCAACTTTTTTTCTAAGAACATTTCATACTAATATATTACTATAGCAGTCCTTACCTTGACCAAATGTATACAAACCATCTTCTATTCCTTTTATTTTTGCTGCTGGCCATGATTTTTCAGTAAATTTTGTTTCATTGTAAGGTATTTGTGCCTCCTCAAGCATGAGCCGTATTACCTCAGCACGTCCTCTAATATCGAAATAATGTATAGTGACATTACCAATTGCAGGTACTGGGGAACAACCCGGTTTACCATATGCCAGCTCAGAGGTTTTCCTACAGAAAACAATAATAACAATAAATAAATAAAAAAATAAATAAAATATTCAGAAAAAAATGACATGGATTATTTAAGTATTTGCGCTGTAATTCACTGAATAATTATGTACCACAATAAACCAAAATATTAGCAGGGACATTTCAGGGGAAGATGGATGTTCAGTTGGGGGCACTTTTACAAGGATGTTGCTGCCATATTGCATTGTGGGATTTATTTGTATGAGTAACAACAGTTTTAGAGGGTGTGCATATTTGGCATAGTATAAATGTACAAATCAAGTAATATTCATCAAGCAAATGGTATTATGGACAGACAGACAAGCATGGGATAATGGAACAAAAAATGACATTGAAATTCAAAGGGTTAAAAATGAACCTTAAAAGTGTTGTCATTCTAGCATTATCACATTGATGGGAAATTATTGTTTTTGTTTGAATAAAAGTCACACCTCCTTACCCCAGATTATTTATCCCAGTGTTATCACTACCACCCACACAAGACTCCTATGCAGTATTACCACACACATCCAAAAAATACATGTACTTGTGATTGGTGGAATACTAATGAGCTTGTTGCCATTGCTGAGAATGGCACCGACACAATTTTTTGCCCAACTCAAAATCGCATTTTGCAACATTTTATCAATTCCTGTTGACAAAATCGCAGACAAAACACTGCTTTACTGATTTTTGTTCTGAACATCGACCCTATTATTAATTAGTAACGTTACCTAATACATGTGAATAATCATCATTGCAAATTTAATGCAAGACAGGTATCAAAATTTACACTTCAGGCTGGTGATTTCACATCTTCACCAGCCAAGTTTGGTTTATTCACCCATCCACTCACTGTTTACATTTACATCTAGCTCACGATACTGTACAATTTGCATGATGGCGATTTTAAGGCACTGCGCCTGAAATGAATATTAGCGACATCAGAGGTACATTACTTGGGGTTTGCAACTACGGTGACATGATACCGTTACAATCTCGCTCTCGCATAAGCGTTCCAACTCAGAAAAATGCAAATGCGCATGCCCGAGGTAACTAGGATACTGGGATGTCCAGGTGGATCAAAATAGCTGCCCACGATATGACGGATTACGAGAACTATATTTTCTGTACATTTTCGATGTATTACATTTTTCACAATGATAGTGGCAAGAAAAGTTTTATTTTTTCATTACAAACCTTGAACATTGATATATATCATGTCAGAAGGTCGTAGCCTCAGTCTCGCTATCTACGAGAAGAGACTTGAATGGGATCTTGACATGATGTCACCATACAGTACTATGCGAGCTGCAAACCCTAAGTAATGTACCTCTGGCGACATACATTTCTGAGCTGTTTTTTTCTTTTTCTTTTTCAAACCAAACATAAATGTGATGACGTAGTCAATCCCATATCTAATTCCAAGTTTACTATGATCATTAATGTTTTGTTCAAATCGTATTATGTTTTGCAACATGCCACAATATCAACGTCAAAAGCATCGCTTGGGACAAGTGCTTATTTTACAAATTCTGATGCAAATATTATTTACTGAAAGATAATGCAATATGAACACTTTTCGTGTGGGTTCGGAATCTGAATGAAAACATCGTCAACGCTGAATTTATATTCATTTATTCAGTTGTATGCCATTAGTAAGGTCCATGGCTGATTTTGATTGTGTCGCTGGAATCCTGTGAGGGCGATAGCAATAACATAAAGCCTCTTGGGCTTGAACAAAAAAGTTGGCATGTTTTAGAAAGAGTTCCTTTTGTACCCTGCCCCCTAACCTTAACTCCAACCCCCCCCCCCAATTCAATTGTATAGATAACTCTAGGTGTCCTTCGGAGGGGCATATACATATACTGGAGGAACGCAGGAGGGTAGTGTTAGTTAGAGTTAAGGTTAGGAGTCGTACGTGGTAAAAATGAACCCTTCCTGTGTGAACACTCAATACAAGGTGGACAAGCTTACAATTCTGACCTACTGCATACTATTCAGGCCTACTAGTATCAAGTACATGCAGGGCAAAGGTAAATCCTATTCAAGTTGAAAAATACATACTACTACATCTTTTCAATATCCAAATAAGGATACAATTATGCAATAAAGATTATTATTATTACAATCTCACTGAGGGATTGAGCATTTGGTCATCAAATTGCAAGCTAGACACCAAAAGAAAAAAGAATTACATGTAAATTTTACCACATTCAAAAAATACTTAATTAATAATTAACTAGACATTGCAAAAAAAAAAAAAAAATGTGCTGGTCACATTTTTCCAGCCACCCACCATGATTTCAAATGTTTAACCCCCGACTGAACCAAGTAGATGTCCTTCAGACTATTCATTGACAAATTTTAATAATTGATGGACTCTGAGGTTTTCATGGTAACTAAACCATCTATGCGATTTAGAAAATGTTGATTTCAACTATTGAAATCAATCAATTTTAAATTACACATTTATTGAAGTTTATATGTTTTTTAACGTCACGATTTTTGTATTGAACTATTGAACTCAATAAAGGGCGGACCGGGTCACGTGACAAGCAGGGGGCCAAAATACCAACATATGGGTAATTTCGCTGATTGGAATTTTTCTGGAATTTGCGTCTGTCAAGGCTGCTAAATGCCTGCTGATTACAAAACACAACCACCACTTAATTTTGAAATGATAAACAGAAGACAAATTGGAGAAGCCATGTACATGGTCAAACTACTCCAGAATGCCAATGGGACGCACAGTGTTGAGGGAAACGCCAATGACCTCCACTGTAACATATCCACATACCGAATACGTACGATATCGCGTTATAGCGAACATGGGTAAACGTACACATGTACTTATCGCTGCATGCGTGGTCACACCACATCAACCCACATATAGAAACAAAATGTCATGAAATTAATGCAATTAACCTGAGAAGGTACGGTCCATGTCCTGTGTAATAAACAGCTACTAACGCCGCTGCCAACACCACTGCGAATTGCACCAAGTCAGACATTTTTTAACAAGAGGGTGAAGATTGCGTGAATGTGTAGCTATAGAGGGCGTACTCGTCAAGCAGGGTACAGAATTTCGTTATTTTTGATTTCCTGGATGTGGTTCTCACTGAGCGAACTTTATCAGTTATCTTTTCCATAAATCTTCCTCTGATTAGGATTATTAGGGTATTTTAGATAATTTTGAGACGTTTTCTCAGATTTTTTTATGTTGAAAACAATCCTGATCCTGATTTTTTTTATAGGTTATAAGTTTTTGATATTTTTTTCAGCGACAGCTACATCAGAATCATACTATAGTTTTTTTGTGCTGAAATTGAGAGTTATTTAAGGAATAACCTCCCGGAGGCGAGATTTGGACCAATTTCACGACTCATGCACACAAGCGGTAACAAGCGTGTGTATGAAGTGAAGTGAACAAAATTGAGCGGGCAGGTGGGCCACAGTCCCTCTATCATAGAGGGACTGTGCGGCTGTGGGTGGGCACTTCAACAACATTCACGACTTTGTGTAGAATTTTTTATTCCGAATCCGTGGAAAGTATGTTGAATACATTTCTGGAAGGACTTCTTGGTTTACCCATTTTTTTTAGCTCCATGATGGTTTACCTGAACATTGTGACAGGGCCAGAATTCCGGATTCCGTCGAATAGGATTTGCCCTGTGACAGTCGGTCGATGAGGGAGTTGTATGATGTTTTGAATCTAGTCAAATACGTGATAGAGGGACTGTGTACAGACGTATTGCGTCATAAGTTTTGCTCTTTCATTGGAAATATATTTACCATGTCGACTAAGCTGGCTTCTGTTTTATCTGTCATTCCTGTGATTGGAAGATGTATTGTGATGGTCGGAAACCATTGGGGTTGTACAGAACACGGCGAAACATGTTTTCAACTGAATACCTCATTGTATACACCAGTAAACCAACAAAAACACAAAACAATTTTCATACTATATTATTAAAGAACGGAATTGATGGGAAACTTTATCATTTGATTAAAAACATGTATAACAATACTAAAACATGTATTCGCTTTGGCAAAAAAATATCTCCAATATTTAATACAAATAAGGGTGTGAGACAGGGATGTACTATAAGTCCAATGCTTTTTAATCTTTATGTTAATGACTTGAATGACACATTAAAAGATTCAGTAAACCAGGTAACATTAAATAATTATAAAATTAACTCTCTATTTTATGCAGATGACCTAGTATTGATTTCAACAACACAATTAGGTTTGCAAAATGCATTAAATAAACTATCTGAATACTGCCACAAATGGAAACTCCAGGTAAATCTTAATAAAACCAAAGTTATGATTTTCAAAAAGGGAACAATGAGAAAGAGAGAGTTATTTCAA